CCCCAAAACCCCAAAACCCCAAAACCCCAAAACCCCAAAAGATTTTGGATTCTGAATTCTATAATAATTGCAATACAAACATGAGTTCCAAAGTCAAAGAGAATCGGATCAACTCTGAAATTACAATGCTCGACAAACTCCCTGAGGGATATCTCGTTCAGTACAGAGAAGGTGACGGATGTTTGAGAGTTGACCTCGAAATTGATCGCAAACTGGTCAAGTCAGAACTGCTTCCTGATAACATAAATGCCTTTAATTTCAGCATCATCTGCGACACTGAGTTTCCGTTCAAAGGGCCTCAAGTCCAATGAAACACAAACTTCTTGCAAATGAGCATCTGAGACCAACGAGACTTGTTCGTCAACATTTGAAGGACCAAGTGGGCTCCATCAAACACTTTATATGAAATCACGAAATTGATCCCTGAATTTATTTCGGATGCAGTCATCAGCGAAGCTTCAGAGGAACGAAAGTTCATTGGGAGGTTCAACCTCTGACAAGAATACTACATCGGAGATTATTACGGCATATTTGATGTGTGGAAATTCAAAGACAGACACAACATATTCATTGATTATACTATTCTGAAGACAGACCAGCAACATAAAAGTCAGTCGAGGTATCTTGTGGTAACCGATACTGGTCTTATGGTGTGAGACCCAGACACTTCAGACAAAGACTTCGCTGTCTGTAGAGGCTGGAACACTCTTTACAAGCTGCACAAAGTGAGGAGGGAGAAAGACAACCCCAAAGTCATCAGTTTCGTGTGGGACGACGATATGATGATGGAGTGGACTCTCACCTTCGATGACCCAGACCAGTTCATCAACAGCATCTTGTTCAAAATGGAAGCACTTGGGTGAAAGTACCAGAGAAAAGAATACGTCAAGAAAATGATACTTGAAAACGAAGTAACCAAAGCAGGGTTCCTTAAGAACATGGACTTCAGGTATCGTAAGTTTTGATAAACTTGACAACCATAACATTGATATAGACGAAATTGTTGACTTGATCGCAATCTATGAAGAAGCTGTAAATAGCCAACTCACAATTGAAAATATCAATGCGTTGACTTCTCTTTACCAGAAAGCAATTGAATATTACTCAGCACAAGATTCTACCAGATACGAAGACTTCTTAAATCGGAATAGGATTTTGTTGCAAAGAGAAGATGTCCAGGCTGTCTTAATGAGTCTAGAAGCAGAGTCAGAAGAAGCAAAGCAGCCACACAATCAGCCTCAGCTTCACAGGTATTTGTTTGCAATAATCATAGCATCAATCCGACTTTTGAGCATCAGATTCAACAAGATCCCTCTGGTCACGAAGACCACTTTATCATCGGTAGTGAAGACTCTGAGAGTGAAAAAGGTGTTTCAGACATAAACTTAGACGCAGTTCCAATTGAAGAGAAGAAAGCAGAACACTCAGATGATGAAGAAGAACAGAATTCTTCAAATCTTCTTCCAGGCGAAACCCCAGAGAAGCACATTGATGATTTTCTAGAAGAAAACAAAGAACAAGAAGTGTTTGCTCTTGAAGACTGTCTTGATGACCCAGAGAAGTCTCCGTCTGATCCAAAGCAGAGTGCTGAAGATCAACTGGTCGGCAAGTTCAACTCAATGAATGTGGAAGAAGACAAGAAATCAGATGATAATAATGAAGAAGACGCCAACTCAGAAGAAGGACTCGTTGATTTCTCAAGTCCTGAAGAGACAGCCAAGATTGAAGAGGGTGCTAGCAGTGGGGATGGGCAAAAGGAAAAAGTAGATCAAGAAGAAGAAGATCTATTTAGGATAGACTACGAGTAGAAGATTGATATTTCAACCAGTACATATGGTGGAGGGGTTTTGGGGTTTTGGGGTTTTGGGGTTTTGGGGTTTTGGGGTTTTGGGG